CCCCCCCCCCCCCCCCCCCCCCCTCTCCCCCCTTTCAGGCCGTGGGGGCGTTATAATGTGACGGTTAATCCCACTATTCGTTGGTAAAAGAGTAGGCCAAGAGTTGGCAGTGGGTGGTGATGACTAGTTGTCTTCCCTCTTGCATTTCACCGCTAAATTAGGAGCGGCTAGCGCAGATAGCCCACGTGTAGCTTTGCGCGAAATTCAAAAACAAACAAGCTGACCATCATTTCATTAGGCACGATGGACTGTGATCTAAAGTTCTCACCTTCTTATCACACAGAAAAATATCTCTCCTGAATTGTACTAGTTAATTTTTGTTTTTATTTTATTTTTTTTACAATGAGGATCAACTTAATAGGACATAACTTCATTAATCGTATTCAGTGATGGAAATGGGCGTACACGCCGTCTACCTAGTTCTCAGTTTACATTTTTTCCCCATTGGTTAAGTTTAGTACCACTGAAGATGTTTATCAACCCTATCGTCACGGGTCAAAGGCTTTTATTGAACTACTATTTTATTAATTTATGTCTGTAAGTTTGGTATCAAATTGTAGACTATAATTCAAATTTTAGTATTATACATTAGTTAATTTCTTAATTTAAAAGTAAATATTATAAGAACACACCTAAATATCGATTTTTTTTGTGTGTGTCATGTGGTATGTTGAATGCAGCATTGGTTCAAATTAGATGTTTGTGATGTCCAAATACAAAGTCTATAGTTTCTTACGAATTAGGAACTCAAATTACCGATATTGAAAAGCTAGAATATAAAATAAGAACCTCCTATATTTTCTGTTTGCTTTTTTATACCTATAACCCTACTGTTCCTTCTAAGCGTGTACCTAGTTCCTAAAACCTATTTCCATTCCTGATCATATTGGAAAACTGCCTTATTAACGTCGCATTTTCAAACTCTGTATGAACATTCAAATTAAATATTTTTTACTATGTGATTTGAACATTAAAAGGGCAACGACCATTGGATCTGGTATTTTCAGAAGAACGAATTATATCATTCAAACAAAGAGTGAAAGCTTAAATAAACACTATGTTTCAAGGTGTTGTCACCCCTTTCTATATTTCATATAGTCAACATTCCGTTAGTTCATGTGTTTCCTAAGCCCCCCCATCCCCCCTGTACTTTTTTATATAGGCAGGACTCCCTTTGTACATGTGTCTGGTAAGACGCCCTCCACTTTTGACACAGGCAGGATCGTCTCTGTCCGTGTGTCTAAAAAGACTCCCTCCACTTTTCATATAACCTGGACCTCCTTTCTCCATGTCTGGCAAAAAAAACCCTCCACTTTTCGTATGGTCAAGATCCCATTTGTGTATGTGTCTGGCAAGAAATAAAATAACCATACTGTTTTGTACTCAGTCGCAGGATTTTTTCTTCATTAAACTACCCAACAACTTATTCAAGTAGAGTATTGTCACGTTTGTAAAAGAATTGGGTAATGTATTAAGTTTTAGAGATAGAGCCTGTTCTTTGTTCTTTAGTGCTGGTTTTCTAAGTCCAATGGCGATAGTTTCCAACATGCGTAAATCACTTTCATCTCTAGCTTGTAAAAGAAGTTTCTTTTGATGTTAACCCTAATAATTGAAATAAAATTATTATGAACATTTTAAAATCAAGCGCAAGATCGTTTCGTCAATAAACACGTCTTCCTTCGGAAATGCCCGGCATGGCCAGGTGGTTAGGACGCTCGAATCGCAATCTGCGGGTTCGCATCCCCATCCCACCAAACA